TTTGCATATTTCCTGTCAAATCTGTACAAGTGCACGAACACATCATCTCTGCCAAATAAACAGAATTAAAAGACTATAAATGTAACTTAAGCGACCTCAATGTGGTACCGTTAGGCCTATATCAGGATGGCATGTGTTTTTTTGATGTGAAGGAGAAAGTATGGATTAGCCCATGTGCTTGAATTTATCCACTTTGATATTTTACTCTTTACTATTATTTTTCCCTATTTTTTCACTAACTAAACAGGGCATCAGGATAAATCCATAACCCATATCTTTGTGTTTGTTGTCTGGGGCTCAAATATAACATCAAATGTGCTTGTTTTTGGCTAATTATTTCTTTCCAAGTTATTGGAAAATAAATGAAACTAGATTATATATGATTATGGTTAAACTATGGCAATATATATACAATGGTTACATTTGAATTGGTTTGTACCAAGCTCTTTCAAATGTGGCAAATGATGTAACTCATAAGACTTATATTTTGTTACAAATTCATAGAAATAAGAAAATTGGTTAAGTAATTGACAGAGGAGACTTGCAGATTGTGTACCTCATTACAATTTGGCTCTATATTTTTGCAGATGTCAACTTCAAGTGTTAACGGTAGTACCTCAGATCAATTGACATATTGCAACAAAAATTGTCCTAAATGTCGTAAAAAAATGACTATTCGAATTTCCGAGTCAGAGCGAAACAAAAACAAATTATTTTATAGTTGTCATGATTGCAGTGGTTTTATTAGATGGTGCCTGCCTACAAATTCACAATGTAGAGGTGAATGAGAAGTGCAAATGGAAAATATGTCAACTATCACCAAACAACTACGATTTATAAGCGAACAACTTCGATTTCAAAGCAAACAACTTCGATTTCAGAGCACGAAGATTCTTAAATTGGAAACATACATAAATCGAAGTTGGTGTCGTATTTATGGGTTCTTCATCTTGCTTGTAATTGGTATCGTATCAGTTATGAAGATGTAATAATATATATGCAAGTTAGAAGTAGAAGTAATGTATTTCTCTTTGTTAATGCATGTAATGTATATATGGTGAGAATGTTGCTATTTAGAGCAAGTAATGTATTGTACCTGTGGCATTGACAAGGTGTGAAGAATTGGAGTTTGATTGTTATGCATATATTGTGTTTGGAGTTTGATTGTTTTAATTTCACTACATTTGAAGTGTCATAATATTAACACCGAGAACCTATCATGCAATGTGTTGAATTCATGGGAAAGAAAAAGAGTGAGATACATTACAAATTTGAAAATAATGAAAATATGTGAAGAACGTGCCACTGAAGTTGTAAATTGTAAGATTCACAGGAAGTTTACAGGCATGCTTGCCCAACATCAATCACCAAGGATGCCTAGTTAACAACTAAAGTGTAATGCCTAACACAATGGACTAAAATTGTTCCTAGAAAAGGCATCCTAAACATCAAATTTAAGCATCAATCTCCAATCAATATTTTTGGACGCTAATACTATTCAATGCCTGCTATCCGACTTGGTAGACATATATTGAAAAAAACCGAACAACATAAAAAAAAAGACCCAAATCTGAAAAGATAACAACATCATCGTTCGATGCAAGCCTTTCAGGGATGTCCATCTACATGACTGTCAGCAGGAGTATGTGAGGCTTGCGATAGTTGGACTGCAAAGTGTTGAACACTAGTACCTCAAAGTAACTCCTGAAACGATGTCTGAGTGGGATAGACTAAAGGTATTGACTAAGGCGTGTTGTTTTCCTACAATAGTGCTAAATTTATTAAAATATTGATATAATGTGTACTACCCTTTCAATGTAAAGTATGTAAGCAATTATAACTCATATCATATGTACGATACATAATAGGATGAACACTTGGATGAACACTTGTACGACCCATGGCAAAGAGAGGTCGAGGTTGAGATTCAGGTTGAGATTGAGAAATATAGACACAATGAGCATGACCCAAAATACAACCTACATAAACAAAATAATAAAAAAATATATGAAATGAAAAAAAATTTATAATGTATTTTCATTTGAAAAAAAACACACAATAGTAAATATTACTTGAACATAATTACTATCCCTGGCGAAAGAAGGTTGAGATTGACCTTGGAAAGTATAAACAGCAACACCCTATATACAACCAGTGTAAGATATGTGGGAATCTTAGTTGTCCAACAAGATTAATAAAGTAAAACAATGGTTCCGTATGAGGTTCAATTTCCCTAAGGTCTATGTATGTCAAAAGTTGCACAAAATATTAAATTTTACCTAAATAGAATGATTTCCCATGGCGGAAGAAGGTTGAGATTGACCTTGGGAAACACAAAAAGAATCATCTTACATGCAACCAATGCACAGAAAAAAAAAATATCACAGGACTAGATTGCAAGAAGAACCAATCCAATTAAGATTAATACAAGGTTGAACACAATATTAAATATTACCTGAATAGAATTATTATCCATGGCGACAGGAGGCTCAGATTGACCTTCGGGAGTACAAAAAACATCACCTTACATATGACTAATTTATTTAATTTATTATTTAATCATATGCAACATAACACAAAATTGGTAACACATATCACATAACACATAACCATCACACATAACACATAAAAAATATCATTTAATCATGTGCTGTAACACCCCGAAAATTGGGCAGGGTATATCTACTTATACAACAAACCCACCTGATAGACAAACACATATATCTAGCTAACTATTCCATACATCCATTTCCATTTAATCCCGAATGCCAAATGCATGTTGTTCACATCTCAATGCCCCAGTTCCAATCCCAAGCATGCATTTTACAACAAGTATGAAATGGAAGCCAAATAGATAATAAGTGCCCTACATGCTTACAAATTTATCCAAGAATATTCTTGGTTACACAAAATGAAGTTTCAACTCAACGCAATACAGCCTTGGGCTTACATTCAACAAATAAGCATAAAACAAAAATGAAGCCTCAGCTCCGAGTCCTCCCAAGTTAGTGCCTTGGCGGAGGCATATCACTTGTACCTGAAATGGTTTCCCTTATAGGGTGAGCCATATCCCAATAGAGATATACTATACAACATATGGACCATGACAAGACTAAAGAGGAGTATGCTCATGCCATGCCCATGATAAAACAGTTTATCTCTCTTTTTATAAAGTATGCAATGCTGAGATACAACAACAGAAATAAAACCATTTCCATTGTAAACCATATCTGTTGCATGAATACAGACTCTGTGAATCTCTAGGTGAGTGTCTGCAAGTAGGCCCTAATGCACTACCACTGTCATTTTTACTAGTAAACTGGAAGGCTCGACACCTAACAGTGTGGTTCTATAGCCCCTACCCAGATTCACCAAGTATTCATTTTTTTGCAAACAGATACATTTCCAAACATTTCTCAAAAACTAATTCATTTCCAATGAAATGAATGTAATGTAATGTCTAATGCAACAAATGAGGAATGTGGTTCAAGTTATCTAAGTCTCATGCATTTCTACAACAATCATGGCTATCCTCCACCGATAGCCCAAAACAGATATTTCTAAACAGATATTTAGACAATTAAATTCCAAAAATTCTGATAAATTCAATCTATTCCACATCTCATCAAATATGAACAACTACAGTAGTTTTCATATCACAATCACGTCCGGTAACCTCTCAAGGTCTATTTCTAACCGTGTCGGTTTATTCCAACAGATACATTAAGCAAATTAATACCGTTAATGCCTAAGAAAACATTATTTTCTTTCCAAATTCATTCTCCAAGCATTATTCAACTATGACATCCTATTTTGATCAAAAGCCCCAAAAGTTAAACATAATTCCTTTGTTTTCTTTAAAAATACTCTTTTGGTCGCAAACTGGTAAAAATTTCAATACCGATTGAATCAAAGTCTGTTTTTGTTCAAATTTAAAACATAGATCTTTCATAACCTTACAAACATATTCCAAGTTTACACTTTCGCAATTTGGCATCAACTCTTTATTTTTCTCAAAATTTCGCTTTTAAGCAAATAAATCACAAATTTTCCAAAAATTCTAATTAGGCCAAGTTTGGGAAGATAAGAAAAAGCCAAAAAGTCAAAAAGTTACTCAAAAGTTAAAAAGTTAACACTATTCAGCAAAAGTCAACAATTACGGCTGCACAACTCCCAATCCTAATTTTCCCCTACAAACCAATTTTTACAATTTTTTAATACACATTTTTTCATAAAAAGTCAAAAAGTTAACCTAAACATCCATATTTTTTTCCTCAATTTTTTAGTCCAAAAAGACAAAAAGTGCACTTATTTAGGACACCCCAAACAACCCGTAAATTATATACAACTCTAAGCTCCATATAATCAAGTAAAAGTACATAAAAAAGTGTATAAAAAATTCCTACCTCAAGCCAAGAAACTTTCAAATTTTTTGGCAACAGAAATTAAATCTGCTTGGAGCCAAACGACGCCTTTTCCGTCCTCTAAGTTTTGATCCAAAGCACTAGGGGTCAAAAATGACTTATACTAGATCAAACTCATGAAAAACCAACATTGGAACCCTTTTTCTCTTTTTCTCCTCATGGCAAGAACCCAAAGTTGAACAAAATATCCTATTTGGTCACTTTTATATATATATATATATTATATCTAACCCAATATCTAACCATATATATATACACACACATATATATATATCAATTTAAAATTACATTTCAACATCTTTAATGACAAAAGTAAATATAATATTTTCTCACCATAAAATATATTTCGTTTAATGGTACACACCATAAATATTTACAGCTCTTTTATGGTAATCAAATAATAATAATAAAACCACAACATTATTACATGGTTACTAACGGGTCACAATTTAATCAATTGGGTCCAAAATGAATGGAGTTTAATAATTTAATATAAATCCCCAACTGAGATTAAAGTATAAATTCAATTTGATTCAACTCGTTGCATGTGCAAATTTTTTTTTTTTGTGTAATTACCTATTTATATTGCATCATTTTCTTCTTTGCAATAGATTTTTCCATCCTGCCTTTGATCCGCCTTCTTCCCTTACAAGTTGCTTGTCTTTTCTTGATTCCCTTAACTTGGATTGGACAATCTACTTCATCACTTTGTGGGCATGTGTTAGTTGAGGAATTTCTCAATTCAGTAACCTCCACTCGACCACAAATGTGCACACTTAACTTGTTTTCAACCATTACACTCAATTCTTCACCTTTTGAAAGTGACAAATGATAAGTTTCTTCACTTTCAGCTGCTCTACTTGCTATTGCTCTAAACATATTCGTCAATGACCTATATTGGTCGCTTTGATGTAGTTTCACATTAGCCTTGATGTCATACCCACGGTTATCTTTCACACTTTCAGCCTTTTCTTTTTTAGTCCATCGATTCAATATATATTGTGCAGGAAGCTTCGTTGCATTCAATATATCTCTAAGCACCTTCAGACAATGTCGACACAATATGCCCTTCACTTCAAACTTCTTGCAACTACAACTGAAAGAACCAACTTAAACTTCTTGCAACTTCACTTCAAACTTCTTCCCATCTACCATCGTTCTAAGTGAATATGTTACACTCAGTATCATTAATAGTGCCAACAATGGACACTTCTATGGACTACACGTACTCATTTTGGAATTCGTCAAAAATTATTTTGGTGTAAATCTCTGCCACTTGCTTTAACATCAAAGTTGGAATTGAAACCCTTGGCAATTTTTGGGACAAATTATACTCGGCTTCAAATTCTTTATACCTTTTCTCATAGAGCACCCTCTTAAAATGTATGAAAAATCCATCAAGTTATGATCACAATTGAGATAATCCTTCAAAAATGCATTGAAGGATTCACTTAGTTGAGTAGTACTCATTCCAGCTGCCCAAGAATTCATAATATATGGCCATCCCCGTTTCTCCTTCACACCAAAAGTTTGGTCTAACCAATGATTGTTGCGTGCATCATACCTATCAAGCATTTGGTCCCATTGTATTATGAATTCTTCTTCATCATCAATGTCATGCATAAATTTTGAAAACACACCCTTCATTCCTACTTTTTCGAAAAGAGAACTTACATGCATGACAACATTTTGCATCAAATGCCATGTGCAAAGTCGGTGGTTTGTATTAGGCATGACAATTGGAATGACCTTAGCCATCGTAGCATCTTGATCTGTGAAAATAGTTTTCAGTGCTTTGTTTGACATTGCCTCCAAAAAAATCTAAAACAACCATGTGAATGATTCTGCAGTCTCATCATACATCAACACTACACCAGATATAACTATTTCTCGATGATGATTAAATCCAACAAATGTTCCAAAAGGTCTATGCTCGTTATTTAATTTGTAAGTAGTGTCAAAGGTCACTACATCACCAAATTGAGCATAGTCCATTATCATTTGGGCATCGGCCCAAAATATATTACTTATCTGCTCTTCACAATCTAATTGGACTGCATAATAAAAGGATGGATTTTTCACAGTTTTCTTACGAAAATACTACAACACACTACCCGCTTCTCTAAATTCCAAATCATTTTGTCTTTTCGATCTCACGTAATTTTTTTGATCCAATTTCGTGAAGCCAATTGATGCTCTTCCACCAGATTCCCTACCAAATAGCTCATAAGCAGACCTAAGAGGAATTCCAGATTCTGAAGCCAATTCTACTTCAATTGCTTGGGTGGTAGATATTTTTCTTTGGGATGGCAACATATGAATGCACTCTTGAGGCACAAGGTCATGATTATGATGTTCAACAATATCAATCACAATATATTTTCCTGAATTTCTATCTACCTTGATACTAAATCGGGCACCACAATCACATCTCACCTCTTGTCTCGGAAATTTTACTAATGGATTTCGCTTATCAATACCCCGAGTTCCCTCTTTGTAACATACAAAAGTTTGTGAAGTTATTTCCTTAGTTTGTTTGTTCTTGTGTTCATATGCCTTCTTAATACTAAAGCCCACCTTTCCGCCATAGTTATTGTAAAAGTCATATGTAGCTTGTTCAGAGTCAAATGACATGCACAATTTCAATTTCCAACCACAACTGGCCAACTCATCAATAACATTATTTTCTTCCATTACCTGCAATTTAGTAGCATACAAATAATAAAAATAAATAAAAATAACATAAACAAAAATTGAATAATGTAATCAAAGTAAGTGGGCTTGGGATATAAATTTTTTCTTTGGAAAATAGGACAACAATATCCCAATTGCCAAGCAAACACAAAAGTGCTACACACTTTTCAACTCATTTTTTTCAAAGTAGACTAGTAAACATATATAGAACTATGATAAAAACTAAAATTAGATCATCTAAAGAAAATAAAACAGTAACACCTATAACGGAAAAAGCAAGAGGAATATCCCAAATGCTAAGCAAACACAAAAGTGCTACACACTTTGCAACTTATTTTTTTCAAAGCAGACTACTAAACATATATAGAACTATGATAAAAACTAAAATTAGATTATCTAAAGAAAATAAAACAACAGCACCTATAATGGAAAAAGTAAGAGGCTTTAAAATAACCTTTAATTCTTTTCAAAAGGCTGTTTATATACTAATCCACAAAAGAATCTCTTAACAGATCATTAGTATTTAATGATCAAACATACTAAATCAAACATGAATCAATTTTGCTTAATTCTTTTGAATTAACTTTGCTTATTTATCCTCAGTGCCTATGCAGTTACAAATACAGCTTACAGAAGCACAGAAGACACAACATTCTTCAATATGTATATGTGACATCAATTTCAAAAACACAGACAACACAGACATTTCAGTCATTTCAAAAATTTCAGAAATAGGAATACAAAAATTAGGAATTTCACAACACAGACAACATAGGCAGACCTGGTTATATACGCATATATGTATATATCAATAAGAAAAATATAAAATGATGAAATGGACCTCATCATGGTCATAATCTCCCCTTGTCGTCGCGTCGCGTCCCTTCGCCGTCGCGTCGCGTCCCTTCACCATCCTCCGTCCTTCGCCGTTGCCATCGTGTCCCTTCGTCATCCTTCGTCCTTTGTCGTCGTCGTCGCATCCCTCCACCATCTATCTCAGTTTGTTTCTCTATGCCTCTCTCTCTCCGCCTCTTTCTCTCTCTTCATCTAACGTCTCTCTCTCTCTGTTAGGGTTAAACATAACAGATGAGAGGATAAAGGAAGATGAAAGTGAAAAAGCGGCAAACTCAAATTTTGGAAAATAAATAAATAAAAACACTAACGAAAGCAATGTCATTTTTGCCAAAATGACATTGTTTTTGCGAGGGCAGCAGGAAGGGCTGCAAGAAAGGGCGGCCGAGAATCCTCACTCTTAAAATAAACCCACAAATAAACTGTTACTTAAATAAATTGGCTTATTTGGCATATATTTATAAAATTTTAAAAACTTTTCTTTTAACTTTTTGAAAACGTTAAAATTAATTTTTTGATTGAAACAAAAGGAGCTAAGTGAAAATGGACTTATTTTAGCAAGTTATACTTCAACAAAACATTAACAAATTGAACTTATAATTTTGTATTAGTAAACTTTTTAGTTAAATATATATATATATATATTAATAAAAATGGAATTCTATCCCATAAAGTCACTAAAAACTCTAAATTTCCAATATAAATTTCCAAATTTTTTGATTTCTTAAAATTAAAGAAAATACTATATTTTTCAACTTCGGCCCACCCTTCTTTTCTGAACTTTTTGAATTTTAAAAAACCCTAATTATCACGGTTGTCCATCATTGCTTTTTCAATCACCGCCGCCGCCTCTGTTTACTTCTTCATGCTTTGCCTTTTCAATCCCCTTTCTTTAATGATTGCTTCTGCCTCATGCAAAATCCAACATAGGGACTATCTCTACAAAAAAATTGACTTTTTGCGACAGCAAAATGCCGTCACAAATATTCAAAACGCCGTCTCAAAAACTTTTTTGCGACAGCAATTGACTTTTAGCGACAGCAAAGGGGGGGTCACAACAGATGGTGTTGCTAAAAGGTTTTTGCGACGGAAAAGTGTCGGCGCCTTTTTTTTGCGACGATAACTTGCCTTTTTTGCGATGGAATTATGCCGTCGGCAATAATATGTAAAAATCTGAAATTTTTTGAGACGGCACTGTGTTGCCATCGCTAAAAGTGGTATTTGCGACGGCAAAAAATGCCGTCGCTAAAAGTGTTATTTGCGACTGGGGTACTTGCCGTCGCTAAAAGTTATTGAGACAGCACAGACACGCCGTCACTAGGATATTATTTGCGACGACAAACAAGACTGTCGCGAAAGGTTTTTTCCAACTATTGGCAATATCTTTTGCGACGGCAATGCTGATGTCGCAAAAAAAAATGGTTCTTACGTTTTTTTTGAGACGATGTGGTGCCATCTCAAAAAAAAAAAAAAACAGCAATAAAAATATTAAAAATATGAAAATTACCTGTATTAAATGAAAAATAACTAAAAAAGAAACCAATAATTATATAATAATACAAAAATTCCAGTATAAAAACAACAATTCATCCATAATAAAAATATTCTTCCATTTATTATTCTATTACTATTTTGTCCAAAATATTATATAACAAATACATAATTCAATTGGTAAATTTAAAAAATAAATAAATTTGTTTAAATTACAAAAATTATACTTTCGGTCGAGTATAATTACATTTCATTTACAAAATTGATAATTATAATTCATCTTGTCAAAGTTTGTTCGGTGACATAATAATCTTATCTTATCTTTTTTTATGTCTCTCTCCCTCTCTTGTTTTATTATTTTTTAAATTGGTAAACATATACATCTTTATTAATTTTCTTTTCCATAATAAAATGTACATATTTATGCATCTTTATTAAAAAATTTAAACTTGAGTAAATTTTTATATATTTATACTCAAAATTGTTACATTAATATTAAGATATATTTATGTATGAGAGGGTAATTTTTGGGAAAAATTGGGCCGAGCTGCGAGTTGGGCTTTGAGGCCCAAGAATGTGAAGGACTAAGTAAAAAGGCCGTAATGGTTACTCCGGCCTACGAGAGCAAGGTTACTCCGGCCTAGGAGAGACAAAGTTATTCCGGTCTCGGGGAGGTGAGTTTACTTCGGCTCATAAATGGTGTAAAGCTATTCCGGTCGGGAGGCAGCTTGTTGTTAGTCCGGCCTTACGGCTAGTTCGTACAAGAGTCAGTCCGGTCTCAAATTTAGTCCGGTCACACTGTGTTGTTGTTAGATCGGTCAGAACTTGCTACTTGGAAGTTAGATGGAGGTCCCAAACAGTGTTGAGCCCTTCTTCAATGTTGAAGAGGGGCTCAAAATAAGCCTATTTACAGTTTACATCATGCTCCAAAACAGATCATATATAGGCCAAAAATATCATGCAAGAATGATGGTATACAAAGGGGTATTGAAGCAAGTGCTAAAAAGAAAACTCAAACAGAGAAAAATCCTTAATAAAAGGTGAAAATAAGCTCAAAAAATGACCACTTTCAGTTATGGCCGGAGCTCAAAGCAAAAAGAAAGAGAGACCAAGAAATGTTGCAAAAAATGAGCTAAAAAGAAGGAAATGGCAACTCACCCTTGTAGACCAATCTTTAGTTACTTCTTGGACCAAGTTGCAGCACCTTTAGCCTCTGAGAAGCCCTCCTTGCTGCTGGAAATGGAGTGGTGGTGATGGTGTTAGGTGGTAGTGAAGAAAAGGGGATGAAACTTGGGTGTTTTAGGGTAGAAATGAGAGAAGGAGAGGGGATATAATGCAAGAGGCTTAATGGATTTTTTCATAACCCTTAAAACAAATGTTGGCAGCTGGTTATAAGGACCAAGGAGAGGGGGAGCATGGAGGGAAAGGGTGGGGGAAAAGGACCAAGGCTTTCCCCCAAAAGGTGTCCCCCGGATTTAGATATTTCTGGGGGACAACAGCTATACAGCTGTAAAGTATACTTTGTGAGGATCATGACCGGCCACCTTTCAAAGATGCAGGTGGCCGGACGACCACCTCCCCTAGCCGGCCGGCTAGGGGTCAAAAAGGTCAAGTTGATTTTCTGGCCGGCCACCACAAAAAGGTGTCCTCCCGGGTCCTCTCATCACAACCCTGTGGTTCGAATTTGGAAATTGTAAAACAGGAGAGAGAATAGGCCATTTCTAGGAGGGGGTCAAAAGGGTCAGGTGGAATTACTGGCCGGCCACAAACTTTTAGGGTCCTCCCATGTGTGTACAACACAGATATGTGGTTCAAAGTTCAAGAAAAAGGAGCCAGGTTGTTCAACATTAGCTCGGAAGTGAGAAAAACGGGCGTCGGAGGGCGAAAATGGAATATAACTGGTTGCTAAGATAATTGCTGGCCTCCCACCCTCCAGTGACCTTCCTGGTGATAAAACAGAGGTACCCGCCAAAAATGAACAAAAACCGATGCAAAACGAAAGTTCGAGGACCAAAACACGCAGTTCGGGGTCCCGAAAATGGGCTGTTAAGCACCGAAAGTGGCATTCCGCCACGAAGTGGGTTTCTCAGACACCAGTGTCCCTCAAAAGGGAGTAAAAAGGAAGTATGCCAAAAATCAGAACAAACGGAGATGGTTAAGCGGTCCCGAACCGAGGCACACGGCCAACGGTCCCGAAAAACCAGAAATCGGGCTCCGAAATGGGAAAAATGGCCTATAGCCACAAAATGTAGCCCACGGCCACTGAGAGATGGTCTACGGGACCTCTCCCTTCCCTCAGGAAAAAAAACAGAGAAAACCGAGTCTGGTTCGCAAACCGAGGCGAGGCACAGAAGAGGGTTCGGATGTCTAGAGGCAGGGCTCGCAGCCGAGACTCTGAAACTTCTGAATGAGCACACTATGCAACGTCACCGAGCGCTCAATCGGTGATGTCTGAGTCTTAAGGTCGGTCAAAAATGGGGTGTCTACAGGTGACAAAAAACATTTTTTGAAAATATTTTCATAAATCTCATGCATTGGATGTTGGTCAAGAAAGGTCTCGAACAAGCATGAATTTGAACCATACAAAAATCAATAAAACCCCCTTTGGATTTTGGTTTCTGTTAATGGTATGTTGTGAACAAGCTATCAAATAGTACTTACCTTTTAGCCAGTAAATAAATTATCACCAAATAAATTTAACAGCTCACTCGAAATATTAGAAAGATCAGCAGAGATATGAAGAAAGCTAAATGGACTAACAGGAGTTCTACCTCATAAAGTTCCAACTTACAATTTGCATCAGAGTACAAGCTAGCCAACCAAAAAAAAAAAGGGAGACAAAAGAAAAGAAAATAAAAAGTTCACCAAGACAACATACTACAGTAAAAATGGGAATCTAGTTTTCTACCATACCTGTGACGCCACCCGGCTTGAGGCAATGTATTTAAGTACAAAAGCATGCATTTCACCCCAAAGCTCGCTCTTACCATAAAGAGCAGATCAGCTGAAGAAAGAAAAAGGTTATTCAGCATGCTTATAAAGTAATTTTAAGAAGTTGAAATACTATAAAAAATAACCTGATCATCTGTTATGAAACAATATAAAGACAGTGAAATAAAATTTGTCTTTTATGGATAAAAGAATTTATAGTCGTACCAAATTAATAATGAAATGAGTTTTTAACAAATTATGCCAAAATATTGGTAAGATTAACATACAAACTTGTCTCTACTGCAAAAATCCAATTTATACAAACTTGGTATGACTATCCAATTTATCCAATTTAAAAATCCAATTTATACAAACTTGGTAAGATTATCATACAAACTTTCGATAAAAATCCAATTTATAGATATAGGAAAAATTTATAGACAGAGAGCACTGACAACCAATTAATTATGTATCTTATAGAAGGTCAGAGCTCAACGGTATCACAAATTACAAGTTCCTTGAATAATTTTTGTCTTGGTTTTTACAGCCAATTAATTATGTATCTTATAGAAAAATCAACAAATTACACAAATCCTTAAAACACACACACACACACACACACACACACACACACACACACACACACACAAAAAACAGAGCATAAGAAAAAAGCAATTTGAATCCTAACAGTAGAGTAAGGCATCAACACTGAACTGA